TGTAACATCGTATGTACATCATAAATTCCCAGTTTCTTTCTTGCTGTACACCACAACCAAAATAACTTGTTGAATTAACCAAATCATCACTGTAAACAGCTCCATGAATGCGCCTATCTCCAAGACTTCACAAAAAAAAAAAACTCTTGCACTCCTTGCGTGCCTATGTTTTAACATACATATTAAGTGACCTAAGTAGACCTAAGAGAAGTGAGAAGGGAAAGCTGCAAATATAGTAGAATGAAAGGGTTGTTAAAGCTGGACATAGCAAACTCAGTTTGTTACTTTACAACTCTACACTAATAAATGTTGTCAATACTCATCGGTGGTTTTTCCATCACATCAGGCGTAAAGGGAGAGTGCAGCACTGTCGGATCAAATCTAAGCAGGAGAATGGTCAGACAAAGTACTACCTTGTTGATCAAGTGACCTTCGATAGCTTGTACAGCCTCATTAACTTTTATCAGACTCATCCACTGAAAAGTATGAACTTTGAACTCACTCTGACAGATGCTATTCCTCAGGTGATTAACTACTAGCTTAAAAATTATAGTTTTTCTAGTCATTGATCTGTGTGATCACTATGATGTGGTATTGTTTTGGAATGCTATTCTCTAACTGTTTCCAAATGGTAAAAATTCACTTTACCCGTGTACTTACTTACCYTTCTCAATATACTGTTAAATCAGATGAATTGTGTCCATTTTCTCACTAATGGTATTGTTTGAATTCCCTTTTTCTTCCATCTTCAACACAAAAGCCAAATGCACATCTTGAAAAAGAGTGAGTAAACAAAACAATTTAGTGTGTTATGCATGTTTTTGATCACGGTGCATGATAATAATTATTATTGATAATGCTAATTTGCTTTGTGATTTGCAGATGGTACCATGATAATCTTAAAAGAGACAAGGCAGAGGACATGCTGAAGAGGGTCAGAAAAAATGGTGCCTTCCTTGTAAGAAAGAAAGAGTCAGATCAGCCATTATCAGAGCATGCAGATACAGAAAACCAGCCAGAGTCACAGAATGAGGAGTCATCATTTGCTATCTCCTTTAGGTAAGTTGTGATTATGTTGGTTTAATGTGTTCGATCCAACCTTGATTATGAAAAAGTGTTGAAAAAGGCATTTGAAGGACTTAGTGCTTATAATGATAATGACAATGCACTAATCAGACAGACTCACTGAACCTTTTGTTCTGAGGAGAATGGTTTGTTGTTTTGTAGAGGGTAATAACAGTTGTGCAATATCTGTAGTATTTTCATAGCCTGGAGAAACAGATGGGTTTTTTTGTACTGCAAGACAAATTTGCTCTTGTAGCATGCTTATGTTTGTGATAACAGCGCTAACAAGTTCCCAGTAATGTTTTACTCTTCACACTACTCTACTGTAGGAAAGGCACTGAGTGTGCAATGTAACTTCCTCTCGGACCCTTAGACAGATGTTTTTTAAAACTATTTTGAAAATGCTTGATAAAAGTCTTAGTTGGTAAAATTGTTTGAATTTGGGCAGTGTACATTTTATAGCACTTTTCTCATGTTGCCAATAATTGGCAACCTGAGAAAATTATGTAATTGTGAAAAAGGTAATTCTGAATACTTTATGAATTTTGTAAGATTGCGATATCATGCCCAGTTGTGTTTAACTGCAGAGCGGAAGGCAAGATTAAGCACTGCCGGATAAAACGCGAAGGACGGCTCTTCACAATAGGCACTGCTCAGTTTGAAAGTTTGGTGGAATTGGTCGAGTTCTACATGAGGCATCCACTTTACAAAGGAATGAAACTCAAGTACCACATCAACGAAGATGTAAGAAACTGATGGTTTGTGTAATCAGGAATCTTTATTTCTTAGATTGGTCTCCCTTTCTACTGTTTATTTTTAATGATTTAAAATGTGCTTTAGATGCCACATTTTATTACTTTCCAGTCATTGTCACTCTAACTTAGATATTTATATTTCCAAATGATTTTTTTCCTTCAGGTGTTGTCAAAAGTGGGTCAGGTAAGTTTTTTGATTATCTTTTCAGAATGTGTAGTTATAATGATGTAACTTGAAAAAGCTTAAAACAAGGTTTCTCGAACTAGCCATACTGTTAGGTCATTAAATGTTCATATGACTTGTTTTGTAACCGGATCTGGTCCTGAATTTGCTTGGATTGCATGGTCTTTTCAATGACTTAACTCAAGCCCCCAGCTCTGCCTTCTCCTTGGCTGGGCTTCAAATCACGTAACCTTTGATGTTTAATTGGGAATATCAAAAAAATGTTGACCTATTTGGACCAACCAAATGATCATAAAAGTGTGCCTGTCCTTACAAGCCTAGCTAGATACTGTTCAAACAAAATAATAAGACGATACATAAAGTTAAATTATAAGAACAGATGCTTCTTTAAATGTAAGCTCTGGTAATAATTTAATGATTAAAATTGATTAAAAAAGTAATAATAATTCAGTCCCCAGATGAAGAAGCAATCTATGGAACTGGAACTCATTATCATGAACCCAACCAGTTTATCACAAAGGTCAGTTACTTTATGAAAACTTAATGTAAAGATAACAATAAACAAACTGATAGTCTATTGCATCAACTGCATTCTAAAATACCATAAACTGGGAAGCATTCTGCATGACAGTAGATCCTGTTTATAATTTTATTAGGCTTTAACAGTTTGTCTTCCCTAAGTTGTTACTTTAAATTGCTAAGGAGTATCAGTTTAAATTGGGAACTGCAAATGACTAGCCTTTTATAGGAGACTTGATAGTCAGGTTATTAAGTATAATTACTATTAATATTCACTTTTTTGCATGTAAGATATCTGATACAGAGGACCTACATCTTAACCTCCTGAAAGTAAGGCCCCCTTGCAGTTAAAAAGAATGTCACTTTCTGAGGTCTTTCAAGGCTGGGGTCATGATTGGTTCAGGCATTAGAGATGTCCATTAGCAATGTTGCAACTTTTGGGATTAACAATCATAATGAAAATTTTATAAATGCAGAAATGCTTGTGATATTCCCTATCAGCAACATGGAATAATGACTGCTAATATGAACTGTTGCTCCATGATTAATAAGCAGTCTGTTATTCTTGAACAAATACCCTAATTTTTTCGATCTCAAAGTGGTTGAAAGGATGTGCAGTTTTTGTAATGTAGCATTATAATCACTGAAACAGAAGACAGGAAGATGCTGTACATAGTTGCACCTTCAGCATGGCCATGAGCAGTCCCTTTTTTTCTTAGTTTGTTGAAATGAGCAAGAGGAAAAATATTTATGGTGCATCTTGGACATCTGATCCCAGATGTCACTTCCCATTTTTGGCTTGCTCATTGTACTACGAAAAAAAGAGGGACTGTTGGTCACTGTTGATGGTCTATCACATGGTGAGTTAGTTGGTGTGTTTACTTGACCTTGTATGTTCTTACATGACAATATCCAGGCTGCTTGTAGAGCATTATGGGATTATGAAGCCCAAAATCCAGATGAGATGTCTTTTTGTCGTGGAGCCTTCATCACTAACGTTAGCAAGGAGGATGGGGGATGGTATGTTTTTCTAGTTCCCTCCCAGTATCGCACAAAATAGAAGTTAAAATTCTAAAATTCTTATATAAACTTGGTTGCTAACACGTTACTGCTTTGTTTAAGTTCTGAAACAGTTGTTCAAAATGGAGATAATGTGATAGGAGTTGTTAAAACCTATCCAGTGGATAACTTACTTGGTTTTGTTAAGACCACTCTTCCAGGAGATAGTAACAATCTGGTGCACAGCTTAATTGTCCCTTGAAGAACTGGTTCCCCAGGGGTTTGATTAAGGGCTGGGCAATGCGCAAATTGACCAGCTGTGATGATGACTTTGCCTACCTGGGCGAAATTCCTTGCTCCACCTTGGTGTATAAGTGGGTACTGGCAAATTTATTGCTGGGGGTGACCCTGCGATGGACTAGCATCCCATCCAGGGGGGATAGAAATACTCCTAGTCACTTCATGCTGCAGAAACCGGGATAAGCTCTGGCCTGATGGGCCACTTGGTTCATATGCAGACTTTACCGTACCTTCTCCATATGTAACTAACCAATGATCAGCACCATCAATGACTAATTAGTGAGTAGTCAACTGATTATTCATAGGTTATTGACAATAATCAACGAGTAATCAATGACTTATTATATGAATTTATTATCCAACTGCAGTTAATATCATCTAAATAAACAAGTACGAATATACAGCGACATTGTATAGTTAGTTATTTGTACAGTAGAAAGCCTGCTTGACAAGTAAGTGTGTGTTGAGCAAAACTGTCACTACAGTAGTTGGATAATATATCTCATGAATTATATGTTTTGTTATAACAAAGTTTGATTTTAAACCTCTTCTGATATACAAATGGCCTTGTACTGTAGTTTGTTCTAGAATAGGGCCAAGATAACCTGTCAGCTTAACTACATGTAACCAACAAAATTCTAAGGACACCAACATAAATGAATGTCAATACATTATAATTTCTAGACACATGTCATACTGTGAGGCCTGCCTTTTATAGAACAGATTTGTACATTTGTTAAAAAGGGATGCATTTAACCTTGGCTACTTGACTAAATAGCACCAAATTCAGCAACATTTCCACAAGGGGTTATTCCAGAAAAAATCCACACACCCCCAATGGATGGGCTCATTTTTTAACCCCCCTCCCACCCAGATTTCCTGAAGCACTAGACCCCCCCTCCCACCTGGATTTTGTCGTCGTCGTCGTCGTCGTCATCTTTATTTCCAAGGCAAAAGACCCCTCCTCCCGCCTGGATTTCCAAAAAAAGTTATAAGCCTTAAATTTGATTCATATTCATTAGAATTCTATGTACAATCATGTCCAGAATATGCTCTTGTGTATGCTCTATGCTCTAAAGCCTTAGCAAATATAAAGCTTACAATTATTATTCTGTAGAACTCAACAAAACAAGCTTACTATGAACATGTTTTTGGACTTGTAGCTTATTAAAAACAGGTGACTTGTTTCTTACACAGCACAAAATATGTCTCCAAATTTACAA